GGGATCACACCGGGACCCCCCTGAGGGGATCACACCGGGACCCCCCTGAGGGGAACGGAGGGGACCCTCCTGAGGGGATCACACCGGGACCCTCCTGAGGGGATCACACCGGGACCCCCCTGAGGGGAACGGCGGGGACCCTCCTCACAGGATCCCTCCGGGACCCTCCTCACGGGATCCTCCCGGGACCCCCCTGAGGGGAGCGGCGGGGACCCTCCTCAGGGGATTATCCAGGACCCCCCCCGGAACCGCCCGTGACCCCCCTCAGGGGACTGCCTGGGACCCCCCTTATGGGACGACTCAGGATTCCCCTCATGGGAACCTCCAGGACGCCCCTCACGGGGTCATCCATGACCCCCTCACAGAACTATCCGTGACCCCCCTGTGACCGGACTATCCGGGACACCCCCATGGAACTACCTGGGACCCGCTGGATCTACGCCATGGGACCATTCGGGACCCCCCACACTCCCTGGAGTCCCAACACCCCCAGAGCCCCCGGCTCAGTGTCACCTCCTGACCGGGGTCCCCACAAGGAGGGGGAGCAGGAGGAACCAGGAGCCCCCCCCCGTCCCTCTGTGCACTCCCATGACTCCCGGATTGCCAAATCTGCTGCCAGCACATCCTTCATCATCATCAACTGCTGCTGATCCCAGCCTTGGTCAGCCCAAAATCTACAGGGTCCCCACCCCACTGATCCCAACCTTGGTCATCCCAAAATCCGACGGGCCCAGCCAGGATTCCTTTCGGGGAAAGGTGTGTGTTGTGGGGACATTGTCTGACAAAGAGACTGTGGTGGCTCAAATCCATCTGGTGGCTGACACATCCCCCGTGATCCATGAGGATCATGCCCTGGGATACCCTATTTAAGCCATGGGAGCCCCCAGGGGTGGGGACAGGCAGGGGGTCCCCCCGGCCCCCGCTGTGCCAGGAGCCCCCGCAGCCGTGCCGGGCTGTGCCGGCGTCCCGTGGGAGCTGCTCCCAGCCCTGTGGTGGGAGCGGGGCCCAGCCCTCCTGTTCCCAGGTGATACCATCTCCCCTCGGCACTTGAAAGCGGCTCTTTGAAGGGGCTGGGAGCCAGCTCTTCCCAACGCTGCCGATCCCGAATCCCCAGCACCCCAAAATCCATCGGAATGTTACCTCAGAGCACAAGCATCCCAGTGCCGTGACCACCCCCAAATCCCACTGGAGCCTGTTGGATCGTGGGGGGCCCTGTGGGCTGAACATCCTGGGCTCCCTGTTCCTTCAGGCACTCACAGCATTTCCACCCAGTGGGGCTCATCCCAACCATCCCAAGTCTTTCCCAGCTGCTCCAGGCAGATATATCCCCAAGGACAGGACAAATCCGGCTGCCACATCCTGGGGTGGTGACACTCAGTGGGGTCCCACCATTCCCGATCCCCACCCTCTGGAAGCAGCACCCAGGACATCACCCCACACAATCCAGCCCTCTCCAAGCACCGGCTCTGGAGTTCCAGGGCTCCAGTCCCTTTTCCCCGAGTTATAAAACCACAAACCCAAGCCAGGTGTTATTTTGGGATTATAAGGATAATTAAATTGGGATTCTTTAATTGTTCCTGCCCTAGGAGCCTCCAGGGGTTGGGTTTTCCTTTTGGAATTGCTCTTTGTCCATGGTCTATGCTGGGTTTGGAATTTAAGGGTCATTCCCAGGGCCAGATCCTGCAGATCCAGCAGAGCTGAGTTGAATTCAGGATAAATCCATCAATTTAGGGCAAATCCCTGAAAAAGGTGTACAAACCCCTTCACCTTCAATCCTCATTCCATCCTCTTTCCCTGCCTGTGGGATATCCAGGGTGGAAGGTGACACTTTGGACCCTTCCATGCAGCAGCCAGTGGGAAACCCACCCAAAACCTGGGATTTGGGGATTTATCCAGGCTGGAGGGCAAGGCTTTGGACCCCTCCATGCAGCAGTTGATGGAAAAACCCACCCAAAATATGGGATTTTGG